TATATATATCTTTAATGGAAAACTGCTTTAAGTAATTTTTTTAAGTATAGGGAGTATAAAAAGAATCACCCAAGTCAAAGAAACAAATTAGGAGTTAATCTTAACCAAATTAGGAGTTAATCCTACAAGGGCCAGTAACCGAGGAGAAAAAAAATCTTTGGGTTGCTTTGATGGGCATCATTTTGCTGAGAGCTTAATAAGAACAGATAGATTACTATAGTGCCTAAGCAGATAATTATTAAACACGTTGGAATTTCATTTTTTAAATCTCCAAACTATAGGTCTTAACATACTAGAAGATAGCCTAAATAGGCTTATTTGGACAATATTTATTGAACACTTACTTGGTACTAAGTTAAACTAAAATCCACATTGATGAAATCACAAAATGGAATAGTGAAACTTCTAATACTATTGAGTAGTCTCAGTTATTAATAAGATAAATCAGAATTTACTGCAATATTTACAGAGCATACAATGCTCTTATGCCAGTATTCCTAACCAGAACTGGCATTTATGTAAAAAAAGAGATGTCCCAGAAGATGGACCCCTTTGGGTGGAAGGCAGAAGATTGGAGTGGCACACTGGATTATTGACCTTAGTAGAGATTAAGTCTATACTTTAAAGTGCAAATAGCTGAACATTTATTGACTGCCAGCAATGTGCCAGGGACTGTTCTAAATTCTTATAACAACCCTATAGAGGTAGGTCCTATTATTATATCATCTCACTTTACGGATAGGGCATGTGGATCAGAGAGAGGTCAAGTAACTTGTCCAGAGCACATGGGAGATAAGTGGCAGTCCAGGATCTGAACTCAGAAAACCTAGCTGTGATCTAGACACCCCCAAGCCATGTCATTATAGTTGCCAACAGCACAAGTTTCCCTTTTCTGAATCTTGCCTCAAGCTAATGAAATTTCTGGCACAATATCTGAAGCTTTAGCTCAATAGCTATATTTTTAACTTGTTGCTAATATTTTACTGGGATATGGCCATTTAATATTTTAAAATATGCCAGTGGCTGAATTTCCAGATATCTATTATTATTATGCCAACATTTTAGAACTATGTTTATTATATCATAAAGAATCCACATCTATAAACTTTTAGAGTACAAATATACCAATAGTGATTATTTGGTTAAGGTTAATAACTTTGTCCCGGTAGACCTGAATGGTCATGTTGCCTTTTTGCAGACACTTCTAGCACTACGGGGAAGATGAACTGTGAGTCCTGTTAAGAAAGGACTTTTATCTGCCATTTATCTTTGCATCTCCATTATCCAGCACAGTGCCTGGTCAAAAGCGGACATCAAAAATAATGTTTATTGAGTTGAATT